GTTGGATGGGACCCCCCAAGGGTCATCCAGACAACCCCCTGCTGTGCAGGAATCACAACTGAAGAATCCCTGATGGATCCCCCCTCCATCCTCTGCTTAAGAACCTGCCATGAAGGAGAGCCTGCCACTTTCTGAGGAGGTCTGTTCCACTGCTGAACGGCTCCCAGCCTCAGAAATTTCAACCCAGTGTTCAGTCAGAATTTCCTTTCTTGTCACCTGAATCCATTAGTCTGGGTTCTACCCTCCAGAGCAAGCAACCCCAAACTCGGCCCTTCAAATGTTTTGGGACTACAATTCCCATCATCCCTGACCACTGGTCCTGTTACTTGCAGCGGCTCGGCACTCCGAAGACCGGTATTCAGTGATTTGCGTTTTATTTTTACTTGTGAACTTATTGCTGCTAGGGACTGTGAATACTCAGGCACAAGTAATTTATAGTCGTCAAGAGCTCTTAAGTATCGGCAGAGGAGAAGGTTGCAGCCAGGAGGTCTCAACCTATAACATTCCAGCTGAGCTTATCAGAGAGCCTCCATATTTTGCACATTCTTGGGTAACTCCCTTGCTCTCCTTGCCAGAAAGAAAAGAAAACGGAGGGGCGCAAGCAGAAGAGGGGTTGCAGGGCTGGTCTACGAGTGAGGCTAGGTAAAAATCCCCACAAGCCTGCATTGCCAAGTCTCCTTGTATCAAATGTGAGATCCTTACCCAACAAGGTAGAGGAGTTGGAACTTATTACCTCTCGGCAGAAAAGTATCCGGGACTGCTGTGTTATGGTCCTTCTAGAGACGTGGCTGGATCCCTCCTTTCCACAGGGACTTCTGCAGCTAGAAGGACGCTCAGTAATTAGAGCGGATAGAACCGCCGAATCCGGGAAGAGCAGAGGAGGAGGAATTTGCGTTTATATAAACAACAACTGGAGCTCGGACATCAAACAAATGGACACGCATTGCTCTCCTGACTTGGAGTACTTAGTGGTGAAGTGCCGCCCCTTTTATTTGCCACGTGAGTTTAATGTTGTTATAATAACAGCGGTGTATATACCTCCCGATGCAAACACTACTACAGCTATGGGCCACCTGCTAACTGCTATTAGCAGACAGCAGCGGGCCCACCCGGATGGAGCATTTGTGGTTGCTGGTGATTTTAACCGAGCCGATTTAGGAACTGTGCTCCCTAAGTTCCACCAGTATGTTGATTGTCCCACTAGGGGGGGAAATACCCTGGACCGAGTATATAGTAACATCATGCATGGATACAAGACCAAGCCCTTGCCCAATTTGGGGCAGTCAGACCACATATCTTTACTTATGATACCATCATATAGACCTCTCGTACGCAGAATTAGACCATCAACTAGAGAGATACGAGTGTGGCCAGTAGGTGCATCTGAGCAACTTCAAGATTGCTTTCGGAGCACCGAGTGGTCGCTCTTTGTGGAGAATAATGTGGACACATACGCTTCAACAGTACTGTTCTACGTTAAAAGCTGCATCGATGTTGTCACTACCACCAAACAAATACGGGTGTTCCCTAACAACAAGCCCTGGCTAAATAGGGATGTGTATCTTCTGTTAAAGGCAAGAAATGCTGCTTTTCACTCTGGTGATGCGCAACAGTATAGAGAAGCCAGAGCCAAATTGAAAAAGGGCATTAGGAACGCCAAAGCTATGTACTGCCGGAGGATCGAAAAACATTTTGAGAGCTCCGACCCTCGTCGAGTATGGCAAGGCCTGTGACAAATTACAGGGCAAAATATTAAAAACGAACTGGCTAGCAGCAGTGCGCACCTGGCTGATCAACTGAATCAATTTTTTAGTCGCTTTGAGGTGGGAACTGGAACTACCGTCACTACAGCATTGGCTACCAGCACATCATCAGAAACTACTACTGATAGACAACCATTTTTATTACAGACCTGTGACGTACAACGTGCCTTTCGGAGCATTGACATTAGGAAGGCAGCTGGACCGGATGGAATCATGGGACGGGCTATTAGGGACTGCGCTGCAGAATTAGCTGGTGTGTTTACGGACATTTTTAATCTATCCCTGTTGCAGGGTTCTGTCCCTACCTGCCTGAAGACATCGATTATAGTGCCAGTCCCCAAGCAGTCAGTGGTGGTATCTCTCAATGACTATAGACCAATAGCCTTAACATCTGTCGTTATGAAATGTTTTGAGAGATTGGTGCTAGATCATATTAAGGCTGGTCTTCCATCCACTCTAGACCCGTTCCAGTTTGCATACAGAAGAAATAGATCTACTGATGATGCTATTTCCATCGCTGTCCATACTGTACTGAGTCATCTAGAACGACAGGGAACCTACGCAAGGCTGTTGTTTGTGGACTACAGTTCTGCCTTCAATACAATTCTGCCAGACAGGTTATTTCTTAAAATGACCAATTTGGGTATACATCAGAAGATCTGTCTGTGGGTAAGGAATTTCCTGACTGATAGGCCGCAGACAGTGAGAATGGGCCCTTACTATTCTTCTACTCTAGTATTAAGCACAGGAGCCCTCAGGGATGTGTGCTAAGTCCCTTTCTCTATTCCCTGTACACATTTGATTGCACCCCACTGTATGAGTCCAACACAATCATCAAATTTGCGGATGATACAACAGTGGTGGGGCTCATTAGTGAGAACGATGAGACTGCTTATAGGAAAGAAGTACAGGGGTTAATTCAATGGTGTAAAGAAAACAATCTTATGCTTAACACCAAAAACCAAAGAACTCATAATTGACTTTAGGAGAAAGAAAAGCGTATTTTTACCATTGCACATAAATGGCGAGGAGGTGGAGAGGGTTGGTAGTTTTAAATACCTGGGCACTTACATCTCTGAGGACCTCTCATGGACTGTAAATATTAATATGGTTGTGAGGAAGGTGCAGGGGAGGTTGTATTTCCTGAGAATGCTCAGGGGACTGAATCTATCTCAGCACCTACTTCTGTCCTATTATCACAGTACCATCGAGAGTGTCTTAACATATAGTATATTATCGTGGTATGGGAGCAGCTCTGAAACGGATAAAAAGCTTTACAGAGAATAATTAAAATTGCCCAGAATGTTATTGGGCTCCAACTACCAACCCTGGATGAGATCTTCACGTCTCGCACTTTGAAGAAGTCACACAATATCCTGAGAGATCCCACCCATCCTGCTCACAACTTCTTTGAACTGTTGCCTTCGGGCAGAAGATATAGGACAATGAAAACACGAACCACACGCCTTCTGAATAGTTTCTATCCAAGAGCTCTGATTGCACTAAATAATGATCTCAGGGCCAGTTGCAAGGAATAGCAAGCAGGGAGTAGGAAGGAATGAGACAGGTTTTTAGGTTATGTTATGCTTTTAATAGGTTATGTTACATTCTGGAGTATGATATGTTTTTATAGATTATGTCTGAATAGGATGAGAGTGTTGGAGATACGTGCAAATGTGTATGTGAACCCGGTCTTCGAGTGGGTGTTTGATTTTCGTTATTGTGTATACTGTGTATATACGGACAATGACAATAAAAAATTTATCTATCTATCTTAGCTAGGGATGATGGGAGTTGTAGTCCCAAAACATCTGGAGGGACAAATTTGGGGGTGCCTGCTCCAGAGCAGCAGAAAACAAGCTTGCTCCATCTTCCACATGGCAATCCTCCAGATATTTGAAGATGGAGACCTGACCATCTCTCAGTCTCATCTTCTCCAGGCTAAACGTGCCCAAGTCCCTCAACTGTTCCTCATAAGGCTTGGCTTCCAGACCCTTGGTCATCTTGGTCACCCTTCTCTGCACAGGTTCATGGCCCCCCTTTCCCCATGTTTAGTCACTGAGAGACTGACCATAAGAGTCTGGGTGCTGGATCCAACCTATGGCCCACCTAGCAGAGCATTCTGTTCTCACAGTGGACAGGCAGATGCCCTGATGTTTATGCCGCCACCTGTGAGGAATCAAAGGATGGAGCTTCTTCCCACACACTGCATATGCCCTGCATATAGCACTGTGCGCAAGAGTGCCAGGAAGATGAGCAGGCTGTGCCGACATGTGTCTGGCAACGGCAGGATCACCTCCGCTCAGCCCTGACCTTGTGGGAAAAACACGTCTTGTCGAAGAGAAACCTTTTCTCTGTAATTAGCCTACAGGTGGGTGTGATGATCAGCCTGGGGCCTCCTTCTAACACATTTCAGGTGGCCCCAGGTGGCGGCTTGCTTGAAAAGGAATGAAGGCATGAAGCATGACTCATTCACAAGCCGCTGGAGCCCACGCAGAGGGAAAACAAGCCACGGGGAAGTCCTCCTGGCCTGAGGGGGTATGTGCAGGGCAGGGGATGTCGTGGGCAAGCTGCCACTCAGCTGCAATGCAGGGGGGTTTACGATGCAAAGGTCATGGAGACAAGGGGTGGAGTGTGCCTCGGGTACTCTGCAATGAAGATTGGCATGGCTCCTGCTACAGCCAAACAGAATAACCTGCAACTTGGCTTGTCAAAAGTAAGGGCTTATCTGTGCTTTATTTCTGAGTGCCCCCCTTTTTTTGCTCTGTGGCTTTCTCCGCAAAAACCCGCTCTTTAAAGCTCAATCGGAGCAAATGGCAATCCATGGCAAACCCGAATTGCCGTTTGCTCCGATTGAGCGCTAAAGAGCAGGTTTTCATAGGGAAAGCAAAGAAGAGCCTTCAGACAAGGAAGCTTTTTAAAGCTTGGACCTGTATGGGGCAAAAGGTGGATAAGTCAATGTCTATCATTGGATCTGGGAACAACCCACAAACGTCTGGCGAAATCCGACACGATGCAGCCAGGAGAGCAACACTGAGGCCACCCCAAAGCACAGGGTCTTGTGAATTTCTGTGCCTCTAGGGTTTCACAAGAGAGGTGTGCAGGCCGGCCGCAGGAACAGGGGGAGGTGCCTTACATTGCTGAGTCAGACCCTTTGACCATCCAGGGCAATACAGCCCACACTGACTGGCAGTGACTCTCCTGGGTTTCAGCCAAAGGGCTGCCTCCCAGCACAACTGGAGATGCCACTGGGGTCTGATCCTGGAACCTTCTGCATGGAAACCAGAGGCTCTACCGCTGAGCTACAGCCTGTCTCTCAAGCATCCTATGAATATTTGCTTAGAATGAGTTGTGCTGAGCTCAATAGGACATATTCCCAAGTAATAGGATTCCAACCCGCAACTGCTTATTTCATTCCTCCATGTCTCTGAGCTCATCCTCCAATATATACCATAATCTTTCTCTCTCATTAGAAAAACAACAACCAGTTTCCTTTTCTTTTTAATCTCTTTTCATACACGCACGTACGACAATATTTCTTAATTTATTTTGCATAAACAATATCCCACCCTCCAGGTAAATGCTTGTGGATAATCCATTATTTCTCTCCATTATTATTGCCTCATCGTTAATTCTGACCTGTGCCATCACATCCACCAAACATTAATAAAAGCTCTGTAAGTAACCTTCGGTTCAGCCACTAGAGTTTAAGTGTGCTTCAGAATTATGCTGTGCACAAACTGAGAGTGAGAAGGGCTGTGCCAGATGTTGTATTGAGCAGGCAGAGATGATGCATGCCATCCTTCGCCAACCTGGTTCCCTCCAGATGTTTTGGACTACAATTCCCATCAGCCCCAGCCAGCCGTGCTGTGCTCCCATCTGTCCCAGCGTTGTACGGCCATGCCAGCTGGGACTGATGGGAGTTGTAGTCCAAAAATATCCAGAGAGTGTTAAATTGGGGGAGGTTGCTCCCTCTGGCTCCCAGTTAGACCACTGGTCCATGTATGTTTCTGAAACAGAATCATAAAATTGTAGAATTGGAAGGGACCCTGAGGGTCATCTAGTCCAACCCCCTGAAATGCAGAAGTCTCAGCTAAAGAATCCCTGACAAATGGCCAACCCACCTGTGCTTAAAAACCTCTGGTGAAGGAGAGTCTACCACCTCCCAAGGAGACCATTCCACTTTCAAACAACTCCTGATGTCAGAAAGTTCTTCCTGATGTTTGGCTGGAATCTCCTTTCTTCTCACTTGAAGCCATTGGTTTGGGTCCTTCCCTCTGGAGCAGGAACAAACATGCTTGCTCCATCCCCCAATTGGACAGCCCTTGAGATATTTGAAGATGGCTCTCCTATCTCTTCTCAGTGTCCTCTTTTCCAGGCAAAACATACCCAGCGTCTTCAACCACTCCTCACCAGGCTTGTTTTCCAGACCCTTGACCATCTCATCTGCCCTCATCTATACACCTTCCAGATTGTCAACATCCTTCTTAAACTGTGGTGTCCAGAACTGGGCATAGAACTGCAAGTGGAAACCACTCTTCAAGGTCCTGGATAAAGAAAGGTCTTCCCCAGCCCTGATATCTGGGAGCATTTCATTATCACACACAAACCCAAACACACAGAGAACGCAGCTATTTTGCTTTTTGCCACACACACAAAGCAGTCATTTTGTAACTGGCACCCACAAAACTCTTCCATTATTCCAAAGCTGCCCACTAAGAAGTTGGTGACTCCCTGCAGCAGTGAATTCCACAGTTTAACTAATCAACGTTGAATAGGTACCGTATTTTTCGCTCTATAGGACACACTTTTTCCCATCCAAAAGTTAAGGGGAAATGTGTGTGCGTCCTATGGAGTGAATGCAGGCTCCTTGGCTTCAGCGATAGCAACGCAAAGCCTCCAAAGCGCAGAGGGAGGCTTCAGGGATAGCTGCCTGAAGCCTTTGGAGTGCAGCGGGATCTTGTGCTGCGCTCCAAAGGCTTCGGGTTCCTTTTGCTGAAGCCAGGAGACCAAGACTCTTCTGGCTTCAGCAGAGAGGGAGAGCTGCGCAGCGCCCCTTCAGCGAAGCGGGAGGAGAAATGGAAGGGGCTCCGTTTCTCCTGCTGCTTCGCTGAAGGGGCGCTTCGCAGAGAGGGGGAGATTTTTTTTTCTTGTTCTCCCCCTCTAAAACAAGGTGTGTCCGATGGTCGGGTGCGTCCTATAGAGCAAAAAATACTGTATTTTCTATTTCCTATGATGAAACTTCCAAAACTCAGCTTCGTTGCACATCCTCCAAGTTCTAGCGTCACGAGAGAGGGAGGACAAACCTTTCTCCACACATTACGTGGTTTTATATACCTTTAACATACTCCTCGCTTACTCACCATCCCCACCCTCCGCTAAGCTAAAAAGCCCCCATCATTTCCTGTGATAACACTAGTATCAGGTGAGAATGTTTGTGCATGACTGAGATTTCATCGACCCAACCCTGTGGCTGGGGCTTTCAGAGCGTCTCAAACACAACTGAGCTGGTTCAGACATACGGCTGCTGAGTCATCAGGGGTTGAGTAATTCCTTATTTTGACTTAGCTGGTCAGGTGATCCAGCGATGCCTCATATAATTGGATCCAGGGATGCCCCATTATTGGATTACTATACCAAAAGCTTACTGTCCCTATTAAATCACGTCATATTGTAAATAAGGCATGTCACCCTGCCTGCCACATGGCAGGGCCTTTTCGGTGGTGGACCCCCGTTCTGGAAGTCCATTCACAGAGCTGTGCAGCCAGCCAGCTTCTAGGTGGCTGGCCTAGAAGAGGCCAAGGAAGCCTCTTTTGCCCCAGAAATCCACACTCTCCCCTCCCAAGTCTTAGCACAGCATCATCAGGGAATTTCTGCTTCTTCTGCTATGAATTTTATCATCACAGCTTTTTACACAGCTCCTCTGATTTTACAATGGGACATTTTACCCATATGGATGTTTTGCTGATATTTTATAAAGTGCAGAATTCAGTGACCAGGTTGCTCACTGGAGCAAGACGGTTTGAGCATATTACACTGATCCTGGTCCAACTGCACTGGCTACCAATTAGTTTCCGGGCCCAATTCAAAGTGCTGGTTTTGATCTATAAAGCCTTAAATGGCTCAGGACCGCAATACCTCAAGGACCGCCACTTTCCATATGAGCCTACCCGGACCCCTAGATCATCTTCTGAGGCCCTCCTTCGTGTGCCTCCTCCTCGAGAGGTTAAGAGGGTGGCAACATGAAAACAGGGCCTTCTCTGCAGTGGCTCCCCATCTCTGGAATGCTCTCCCCAGGGAAGTTCGCCTGGCACCTTCATTATACACCTTTTGGCGCCAGGCAAAAATGTTTATTTTTAACCAGGCCTTTGGTTGACCTGATGCTAGAGAGAGAGGGAGCCATGTTGCAGTGCTCTGTGTGTTTTTATATGTAAATAAAGTAGATTAGCCAAAATGCTGAGTTGCGTAACAGACCTCAGCAACTCAGCATTTTGGCTAATCTACTTTATTTACATATAAACTCTGCGGATCCCTAAGTGTGCCGGTGTCTGTTGGCATCGGTCACTGTAATGTTCGGGCTGAGGAAAGCTTTAGAAGCTCCCGAACCATCGATCAGGAGGGAGAGAATATGCCAGTCGGGCATGTGTCTCTGCCAGGGTCCTACTCGTGTGTAGGCTGGACTCCTGACACTCAGGACCAGCCTTTGGGGTGGGCAAGGGCCAAGGCTGGCCCGCTTCTCAGGCAGCCTCCTTCGAGCACAGCAACAGAGTCACTGGAAAAGAGGCACGAAGGCGAGACAAATCAAATTGGACACAAGGCTGCGCAGGTTTCTTAATAGGTGAGGCGACATGATGCCACATTATGCAGCAGGCTCCAAGCCACACCTCGGCTGCTGGAGTATTCGCCTCTGCTTTGCCTGCCAGCCTAATGCTGTGCAGCCGTGGGCAGTCACCACAGCACCTCATCCCTACGCAAAAGAGAGGTTCTGGGTCCCCTTGCCCCCTAAGCCCTGATGTGTGTCCCCAGTCAGGAAGGGGCTTGAGCCGTCTAGCCATGCCGCAGAAACAATTGTGCCCCTGCACATGGCCAGCACACTGATGAGCAATGGGTAAGGGGCCTCTCAGAGGAGGAACGGTGTTCCTCAAAGGAGGAATCTGTGAAGAGAGTAAAGAGAGGACGTCTCTTCGCAGCCTCAACACACGGGAGCTTGGAGTCAGTCCAAGGAAATGAACCTGCAGTGGGGTGAGAAAGAACTAAAAGGAGAGGGAGTTTATAATAGAGAAAATTCATTGCCATATGATGCCATGATGGCTAAATGTGCGCATAAAGCAAGGCTTTCCAAACTGTGTGTTGCAACACATTAGTGTGTCAGCCGCAGTGTGTAGGTTTGTCACATGAACGTTCCCCACACTCCTCCCGGGGCTGGAAAGGGGTTTGTTTAACCTCTGGTTCGCTATTAAAGCTGAATTACAGTGGTACCTTGCTTTTCAAACAGAATGCGTTCTGAGAGTCCGTTCAACTTCTGAAACATTCGGAAAGGTCCATGACTAACCCTAGTTTAGAGGTCCCGGGCCCTAAGGAAGTTAGACTATATTCCACCAGGGCCAGGGGCTTTTCAGTGATGGCTCTGACCTGGTGGAATGCTCTGTCCCAGGAGACCAGGGCCCTGCAGGATTTAATCTCCTTCCATCGGGCCTGTAAGACAGAGCTATTCTGCCTGGCCTTTAATTTGAATTTCATTTCCCTTCTCTTCCCTTCCCCTCCCCTTTTATGAAGATCACCTGCTCTGGGACCCCACGGCTAATTCTCCCCTTGCCTCCTTGCTGGACCAGCTAGCCCTGGGGATTATCTAATGCTTATTTTCCCTAAACTGATTTTTGAATTTTATTGCTATTCATGTTTTTATACTGTATTTTATGCTGCTTTTATAATTAAGTGTTTTAAAGTGTTTTAAATTTGTTGTTAGCTGCCCTGAGCCTGGTTTTTGAATTGGGAAGGGTGGGGTATAAATACAATTTTATTAGTAATTATTATTATTATTATTATTAAACCAAGGTGCAGCTTCCAATTGGCTGCAGGAGGGTCGCCATTGGAAGCCATGGAAGCTGCGCCGGACGTTTGGCTTCCAAGGCAAAGTTCGCAAACCGGAACACCTACTTCCGGCTTTGCAACGTTCAAGTTATTCGTGAACTAAGCTGTTTGAAAACCAAAGTACGACTGCAGTAGTGTAGCTAGCCGCTCGGGCGCCGGGTGCGGCACGTGTGTCCTGCAGCCGGGGGAGAGCCAGCCATGGGGGCAGGGTGAGCCAG